CTCTTGATAATGACTTGGGGCTGCCCCCAGACCCACACAGCCCCTACAACTTAATCACGATCCCTACCCATGACCCTCCCCCAGAAACCTGTTTCTGCTGCTCTTGATACTGACTTGGCTGCCCACAGACCCCACACAGCAACTGCAGCAGAACAGTGCAGCAGTTACCACCACTCTGAGTTCCTCCCTGTGGGTTTAAAGCACAATACTATGAAGCTATCCATAGCCACTGCAGCATGAGTTTGATCCCCAGCCAGGGAGGTGGCCCACATGGCACAGCAGACCTCTCCTGTCTCACCCAATGCTCAGTACAGCAGTGTATTTCAGTTGATCTGCCTGTTCTACTCCATACTCTGTCTCTGGTGAATTCCCTCACCCCCAATACCTCTGGCCTTCACCTCATTTCTTACATGTATAAATAAAATCTTAAAAAGGAAAGGTAAATTTTCAAAAGAAAAGATAAATTTCCTACAAGAGCTAAGATTGCCTAACCAACAAATCTACCCAATTAAGAAGATCCAACATTAATCATCCACTAAATTATCTAGTTTCTTTAATTTTATTTGACTAGTTTGATACTTACTTGGTGGAGTGCTTTCTGAATAACTTTGAGTTTTTTCTGAAAGAGAAAAGCAAGATAAAGAATTAAAATTGGTTGTGACATGCATATGGAAAAAATGTTCAGCATCCCTTATAATCAGAGAAAGGCAAATCAAAACCACAATGAGATACCACCTTATACCAGTGAGAATGGCACATATCAAATAAACTAACAACAACAAATGTTGGCGAGGATGTGGTGAAAAAGGAACTCTCCTACATGGCTGGTGGGAATGCAAACTAGTACAACCACTATGGAAAGTTGTATGGAGATTCCTCAGACTACTAAAATAGAGCTACCATATGACCCAGAAATTCCACTCCTAGGGAACTATCCAAAGGACACAAAAACATTAATTCAAAAGGATATATGCACCCCTATGTTTATTATAGCACTATTTGCAATGGGAAAACAACCCAAATGCCCAAAATCAGATGATTGGGTCAAGAAGATGTGGCATATAAACACAATATACACAATGGAATACTACTCAGCAATAAAAAAGATAAATTGAGGCCATTTGCAGCAACATGCATAGAGCTAGAAGGGATCATGCTTAGTGAAATAGAAGGAAAAAAGAAAAATAATAAATGGTTTTACTTATAGGAAGAAAATAAGAGAACTAAATAAGACAAGGAAAAATGTATTGTCATTACAATCTAAAACACAACACAACAAAAAAAACAGACCACAGATATCCTACAGGGGAGGGAGAGGAATGGGAAGGAAGGAGGAGAAATGTGGGGGACTGTGCGATGACGGGGCATGTGAATTGGGGAAGGGAGAAAGTAAATATTGTTTTAAAATGAACAATGTTAATAGATGTATAAATTAATAAATTTAAAAAATAAAATAAAATTGGTTGTAAAAATAATGAGGGTGTATGCTCGTGTGTGGCCAAGATCGGACATAGTGGCTGCCAGGGCTCTTCCTTGTGCCCGCTGAGAATCTAATAGTGCAAGCCTCAGGCAGTCTAAATGATTTGTAGATTCACCTTGATCAAGGGCACAGTAAACCCGGGTTTATTTTAAGGATTAATGTAAGACTACGGCGATAGCACAGCCTTCAGCTGTTTGCTCCAATCCGGGCTTCCCCATTCTGTGAGTGTGTGACAACCCCGTCCCTGGACTAACAGGATGCACAGGCCTAGGAAAGGATGCTTTGGAAACCATGCTGGGTACTCATTCAAAAGTAGATTTTGGTTCACTTCCTGCCCATGCATACCATCCCACTCCCTTTTCCTACTTAGATATTAACCACCTGCTTTTGAGAAGCTCCTAATAAGGCACCAAACAAGGGCATGTGGGAGAGGGTGAAGTTGTGGGTGAAGTCTAGTGAATATTCTCCAGTTCAGTCAACTTTCCTTCTAGGGCTTTATTTTACGAAGTACTTTTCTTCATTGTAGGAGAATATAGCTTTCCCAACAGTGTCCAAATCCATTCTGTCACAGCCCTCAACTAATTCTTAACTTTACCATAAAAAGCAAAGGGGTATCAAGTAGCAAAAGAAAAAAAAAATCCTGACACCTTGAAAAGGGCATTCTTAAGGGGAGAAAATGAAATTTTTTTTTTTACCACACTCTCAAAGTTTGTTTATGTAAAGTATAGCTCTGAAACATATTTTCAGGTTATACATTTTTTCCCCCAAAGCTCACTCAGCCCAGGGACAGAAAGAAAAGGAAATTTTGCTTGACCCTTTCCCTGTTATATTTGTTTTCATCTTGTCATGATTTAAAAAAGAAAAAAACAAAAAACACCCAATTCAAATCCAATTCTTAAATAATCCATTTGACTTTTTGGGAAGGAAGTAGAGATAATCCAGAAAGTGTCTCCTGCTTTGCATGATATCATAATCATTCATGGATTAAAACAGATTTTCAGACATTACTGCAGTACAAAGAAATGTGTGGTAGATAAGCATAGATAAATGTCATAAAATTGCTGTTAACAAGAAATCACTTCCTCTAGGGTGAACGTGAATAACTTCATTAAGAACCAGGGAAATGAACTTGATAGGTGAGGTAGAATTGTCACAGATGGAGGCAGACGAATGCTGAAGGCAGCATAAAGACCAGGTAATGGCAAGTAGGGATGCTAGAGAGTTGAGATATTTTGTGTGGGATCCAGAACCAACCAGCAAATCAGGTGGAACCAGCAAAGAAGATCGGTGGAAGACACTGACTGTTGCTCAAGAAACCTGAGCCCATAACATAAACCCCAGGGATCTGTGCTAGGGGAGCAATAAATAAGAGTGACATTATGAAAGAAGTTTATTAGGTAAATGAATTACATTAGGAAGATTTGGGGCTGAAATGGACAAATGGGGAAACACTAAATACAATGAGTTCGTCCAATTAATTGGAGTCCTTTCAGAAGGAGGACAATGACAGTCTAATGAGTTCATAGAAGTTATAACAAAGAACAGATCCCAGAGTGGAACATTTGTTTACAGACAAAAGAAGAAGGATAATGTTCTTGGGGACTTCCAATGGGGATGAACAACATGAGTTAATAGATGGAAAAGAAAAAGCTGATAAGAGACTTAAGAGAGTAGCAGCGAGGAGAACAGCACTCTTCAAAAAGAAACTTAATGGCCATTCATATCTCCTGCTTAGCTCTTTGACTTTTCCTTCCACTACTTCATTCTTTACAATCTTTGTGACAATCATCTTTTGCAATAACAAGCACATATCTTCAGGGTACAGGATTTACCAGCCCTCCCCTCCCTGTAGCCTCAAGTTAAGGTCCCTCCTCCTCTAAGATAAGTTTCTGACCCTAATTTCAGTCCTTACTTCATCCCCAACACAGACATCTTTGTGTATTTCACAATATGTACACAATATGGTGATGGGACATGGGTGAATGTCTGGTGGGAACTCCACGGGGATTACAACTGAGATGAAAACATTTACAAAATGAAGAATGATAAGAATGATGTTATATATATAT